GAAAAGATGAGACAACTCTAAGGCCCTCCTTATTTGACTATTTATAAACTATAATTAAAGGTCAACCTCATTACTTCCACAGAACTTAAGTCTCATTCACCTTTCTCATTCATAGTGCTTTATTTTTTTAAGTAGGTAGCAGAAATTTTACTTTGAAGAAGAGTAAATGATTTAAAGCCATTCAGGGTAATTTAGAGGATCCCAAAAATCTATTGTTGTGGTTTTTACACTACCTTATCACTGAAAGATCTGGATTACACTCCAGGTTGGACACTGATACTATGCTTCCATGGGAAATAGTTTCTTGTTTGTGAATATTGTTCTTTCCCTTGCCCCTATAGTCTTGGAAATGTGTGTATTGTGTGAACTTTAAAATAATTATTTTCAACTCACTTAGCATGGGCCCATTTGATAATAGGAGATATCCATATTCTGAAAAAAAGAGAAGACCCTTCACCATTCCCTAAAGAAGTGCTAAAATAATCTCTGGAAAAAAATAACAGTCATCCATTATATTATTTTTTTTTAAAAATACTAAGAATAAGTTTAGTTGGTAATACATTACTGCACTAGGAAAAGTGATATAAATGCAATTTTAATTTTTAAAGTTGTTTCTGATTACTACAAAGAGAGTATAAAAAGCTGGGTACATGGGCTGGAGTTGTGTCTCAGTGGTAGACTACTTTGCTAGCATGTGCAAAGCACTGAGTTTGATTTTCAGCAATACATATAAAGAAATCTTTTTTTGTTTCATTTTTTAAATACATGACAATGGAATGCCTTGTATTTAAAAATGCAATTCTTATTACACTTATAGAAAAATTTTTCATTCCTCTGTTTGTATATAAAATATGTTCATATCAGTTTCTATCTTCACATATGTACTTTAGATAATAAGGTCTATCACATTCCACAATCCTTGCTAATCTTTACACAACACTCCTACACTGGCTACTTCACATAAACTTGCCTCAGGGATTTAATGCACTAATCAAATAGAATTCTGCAGCCCATGCAGTGCTGTTGGAATGGCTAATATAAAAACCTAAAATTGTCATGTATGGTGGCATATGCCTGAAATTCTAGAACTTATGAAAAATGATGCAGGAGATTTGTTAGTTCAAAGACAGCCTCATTAATATGACAAGGCTACAATCAAATTACTGAGAGCTTGTCTCAAAATATAACATAAAAAGTAATGTGGATGTGTCTCAGTGGTATGCACCCCTGGGTTCAATACTCAGCACCAAACCAAACAAAACCAAGCAAATATCTCATAATTAATAGGGATTCCAGGGTAGACAAATATGTAAAAATGTTGGTGACAATATAAATTTAATAAATATATTTTTATATAAACGTTAAGGTTCTTTAAAAGCCCAAAATAAAGGGCCAGGGATGTGGCTCAAGCGGTATTGCACTCGCCTGGCATGGGTGCAGCCTGGGTTCGATCCTCAGCACCACATACAAACATGTTGTGTCCGCCGAAAAACTAAAAAATAAATATTAAAATTCTCTCTCTCTCTCTCTCTCTCTCTCTCTCTCTCTCTCTCTCTCTCTCACCCTCACTGTAAAATAAATAAATAAAAAAAGCCCAAAATAAAAATGCCACATAATCCACTAGTAATAATTTGGGGTAGCAGTGCAAGGTTGTACATGCCTGTACTCCCAGTTGCTTAAGAGGATACGAGGTAGAAAACCAGGGGTTTATTCTCAAGTTAAAGACCAGCCTCAAGAACTTGGCAAGGGTCCTAAGAAACTCAGTAAAACCCTCTCTCAAAAATAAATAAATAAATAAAAGTGTTGGAGACTTGGTAAAGTGCCCTGGAGTTAATCTCCAGTATTTAAAAAATAAAAAGATATAAATAATAATTCTTCATAAAAAAGTCATACAATCCACTAATAATAACTCTGGATATATATGTAAAGGAATTGGGATCCTTTTGCTAAACATATTGCCACACATCTATTTTTATTATATCTTTATTCACAGTATCTAATAAAAGGAAACAAATGAAGTACCTTTTAGATAGAAAGTATATCAGAAAATGCCTTCCAGCTGCAAAGCATCCAATTAGTCCATCCCTTCAGAAGCTACACACTTAAAATCCAAACTGTTCCCTGGAAAGCAAGACTCAGATAGTGGTGTTTTCTAAATACTCCAAAATATTTGGAATTTCTGGGAACCTTGTTTCAGATATTCTAAAACTCAGAACTAGGTTATATGTGAGGTCAGAATGAGACCCAACACATAGTAAATTCTTTAATGGGGAATCTTAACTCAGACTCTGTCATAACTGAAAGCAGTGTTGGAGATAAAAAATAGATTCTGTTTCACTGATTTCTGGGTTATGGATTCAAGTCAAAAATATATTAGAAAAAAAGTTGAGGCTACTCGTTAAAATCTATGTAAAACAGGTATTAAAAATGTACCAAGAGCTGGGTGTGTTGGTGCAAGCATGTAATCCCAGTTGCTGAAGAGGCTGAGGAAGAAGTATCAAAAGTTCAAAGCCACCCTTAGCAAAAGTGAGGTGCTAAGAAACTCAGTGAGATCCTGTCTCTAAATAAAGTAAAAGAAAATAACCCTGGGGGATGTGCCTTAATAATCAAGTGTTCCTGAGTTCAATCTCCAATGTCCCCCATAAAAAATGTACCAGGGGGGCTGGGCTGGGGCTCAGTGGTAGCACACTTGTCTGGCACATGTTAGGCACTGGGTTCAATTCTCAGCTCCACATACAAGTAAATAAAATATAGGTCTATATATAATAATGTACCAAGTTATTGACATGTACTTTGATCTAATTTGCTGTGTACTTTAGCCCTTAAGATTAAAGTTGGCCAGGTATGGTGGCGCATGCCTGTAATATGAGCTGTTTACAAGACTGAGACAAAAGGATCATGAATTCTCAGCAATGGTGAGGCACTAAGCAACTCAGTGAAACCCTGTCCCTAAGTAAAATACAAAATGAGGGTAGGAATGTGGCTCAGTGGTAGAGTGTTCCTGACTTCAGTCCCTGGTCTTCTTCCCCCAAAATCATGAGGCTAAGTAAATAGCTAAGCTTGTAGAGTGCTTGCTTCTAAGCATGAGGCCCTGAGGTCAATCCCCAGTACAGAGAGAGAGAGAGAGAGAGAGAGAGAGAGAGAGAGAGAGAGATTGAACTAGCATGTGATTTAAATTCAAGTTAGTCCCACTTTTATTTTTTCTGCCACACCAGAAGAGTTTCCTGAAATTTTTGGAATGTTTCTGTGGGTTATTTATTTATTTATTTATTTATTTATTTTTATGTGGTGCTGAGGATCCAACCCAGGACCTTTTACTTGCTAGGTGAGTGCTCTATGGCTGAGCCACAACCCCAACCCCTTCTGTGGGTTATTTTAATAAAATGGTCTGACCATAAATAAGTAAACAAACAAATACATTAATAAATAAATAAACCCTCAATTGATGACCCATTACGGTTTTTAAAATTTCTTAATTGGGACACATACACCTCATTTAGGAGAGATTCATTCTTTTTAATGTCACCTAATTTTATTCTGCTTTCTTCTCATATGAAAATCTCAGAGTGATGAATTAAAATCTTTTAAAAATGCCCTTCAGTTCTTGTAGAAAAACATAAATGATGCATCCACTTGAAATAAAACATGGGAAAATAATGATTTATAAGGCTGAAAGTGGAGTTTTGAGATGAGCCAAAATTTCTCAGTTTGCCAATTGCATCTGGGTGCTTGTCTCATAAATTTTGAAGAGAAAAATCTAAGAAATAGAACTCCCACCATGTGGTATGAGGAATGGTACCAGAAAAAAAAAAAAAACTCATTTTGGTATGCCATCTTAGAACTTTATTAATAGTTTTGGGCAGAACATGGAGCATAATGCATTTAGAATAGGCTTTGGAAAAGAAATCCTATCCTGATTACCATATGGGTTCACTTTTATTCTTTCTGTGGTGACCAATCCTTTTTTCTTCAAATTCAATCAGGAATCCCCCCTGGACAAAGGACTTTGTTAAAGGTGTTCCCACAAATGGGCTTCAAGGTCTTTTACATTAGAAATAGGCTTTAATGGTGCTCATTAACATATCTTTCAGTTAGCCACCAGGTGTGTTAGAGTGAGGCGCATTATCCCCATTCCATGGTCATACTATCTATTCTATTTTAGACTTATTCACTGTGAACAGAGAACCCTAATTTTGGATATGTGAACAGAGAGCTAGAAAACTAGGAGTTTATTCTGAGACCTATGGAGAGCTAAACTGAAGTTCTGGATTTCAATTTTTTTCTGGATTTGAGATACTGCTTCCCCTACATTAAAAATCTCAGGACTCATAAAGAGAATGAGTTAAAAGCTAGCATCATCAAATTTATGAAGCCCTAAGAAATTCAAAGGGAGCTTGTCTCTAAATAAAAATATAAAAAAAAAGGGGTGGGAATGTGAATCAGTGGATGAATGCCTCTGGGTTGAATTTCTGGTACCAAAAAGAAAACCACACACAAACACACACACGCACACAGACACACACACACAGACACACAGACACACACACACACACACACACACACACAATAAAATAAATAAATAAATAAATAGACAAACCCTCATGAGTAACAAGCCCTAAAATCAATAGCCTATCTCATGCATGAGTGCAACAAATGGAATTGTGGTTCTCTCCTGATAATTATTTCAGTCTCTACTATGCAATCTGGAGACATGCTGGACTCATGGCACATGGAAGCCCACAAAGGGTTTTAGAAAGAAGCTGAAATCCACCATACAATTATGGAACAAAATGCCCAGTTTTTCAACTGCTGATATAAGCATCACTAGACTAGTCAGAGGCAGGTGAAGGCTAAGCTGCCCCAAAGAGACCCTCTAGCCACAAGATTCTGGAGAGGACCAGGAAGAGTCCCTAGCCATGACTGCCAATTTCCACCATTGCCACTCCTGTCAGCTTTAAGCCACCTTCCTACCCAGTCTCAAGATAACAAGGCACACTTACCATTTCCTGGCTTTCAGGGTTCTCAGGGATCTCCCTGTGATTTGTTTTCAGCTTCTGCATAACACAGAAACCTGGGCTCCGGATCCAGAATAGAAAGCCTACAAAAAGATTGAAAAAATGGCTGGCTCCAGACACCAAAGGAACAGAAGATTGTGGAAGCCCGCCCCCTCATCACAGGCTGCATGAGGATTGGGCAGTTTCACCAAAGAGACTGATTGGTCAAGGTTTCATGCACTGCCTCCAACCTGAGCCAAGTGGGCACAGACTCAAAGTCTGAATGACAGGCTGTGCCATTGTCATTGTTAAAAGACTAGAGATCAGGGCTGAGAATATAGCTTAGTCAGTAGAGTGCTTGTTTTGCTGATATAAGGCCATGGATTCAACCCCCTGGACTACACACCTACACTCCCTGAAAAAAAAAAAAAATTAGTAACGGACTTTAGGGACTAGTGTTATGGATCAGTGGTAGAGTGTTTCCCAAGCATGCAAGAGGTACTGGGTTGGACACCCAGCACCACATTAAAAAACCAACCAACAAACAAACTACTAATGGTAAATACTCAAGAAAAAATAAAGACTGTGTATTAGGCTTGTGCACCCTCACTACAGAACTCATAAACACTTTTTATATATAATTTATACATATATGTCTTCAGACAGTGTATAAAATTCTCCTGATGGCTTTTCAAGTAACTTATATTATAGGTATGCTTCACAACCCTGAAATCGTCCCCATGTCACATTATTATTATTATTATTATTATTATTATTATTATTATTATTATTTGAGGGTTTGTGAATGCGGTTATTTTAAGGCAAAGTTTTCTTCCAATACTAGGACCTAACCCAGAGGGAAGTGAATTGACATTTATAACTGTTTATAAGGTTAAACAATTTGTGAATAAATATGTCTATATTTTTATTTACGAAAATGATATCACAGTTTCTTTAATTTTTTTTTACTTCTCTGTTCTTTGTCTCATAAAAAACAGGTTGAGCTTTAAATTCATTAGCAATGTCCCCGTATCCCTTCCCCCAAAATAAGAGACTCACAGGTATAATTCAAATTATTGAGACTCATAAATTTTGGATCCTTTATTTTAACTAGTGAAGTCTATAGATTTTCTTTTTATTTTCACCCTTAAATGAAGCCCACTTTTTATAGCGTTCTTCTTGTGTAACTGACCTCTAATATTCAGCACATTTTACCCCCAAATCTGATCAGTTTGGACTATTGATGTCTTGATGCAAGGGATCTCAAAATGGTCATGCACAAGGCAGGAAATGGATATAGTAAGATGTAAGACTGGAGATTGCTGAGTATGCAGATTTTGCATTGCAAAATAAGTATTGGTGGACTATATGGGAGTAGGGAGAAAAAGAGTAATAAAAAAAGAAAAAGCTTGAGCAGTAGAGGAGTTCATATGCTACAAGTCTACAATGATGGTATGAATGTAGAGGGGTAGTGTTGTTGGAAGTAGCAATAAAATTTGGGGAGAAAGAAAAAGGTAATTTTTTGCACAGTTCCCAAGTAAGAGAGCCAGGTGAATGGGTTCTTTGTTCAACTCTTCTCACCTAGAAGTAGAATTTATAGTTCATAAGGTATGTCTCAGTAAGTAGTAAAACACCATTTCCATGTAACTTTACACTTTGTCATGGCTACAAGCTGAGTTTGACAATTCCAGTCACTTTACATCTTTGCACTTGGTAGTTATTAATTAATTAATTAATTCCATTACTTATTTGTTCCTTTATTGATTCATTTTTTCTTTAGCTGTCATTGTTTTTACATTACTGGTGATTATATAATTGCATAAATATTCTGAATGTTAACTTTTTCTTAAATATTGTTTTATGTGTTTATTCATACATTTACTTTTCATTTAAATGTTTTTTTCCTTGACCAAATCCTTGCTGATTTTCTTACTACCTCACTAAGTTGCTGAGGCTGGCTGACTTTAATGTTTTTGAATATAGTGTTATAGTAGACCTTAATCTTTGTTTTTGAAGACTAGATATAATCACATTATTCCAAATAACTCAAAGATCTATCATCTTGGCAGAACCCTAATCACCCACTAAAGTTGACTCAGTCTGGGTCAACTAAAAACTGTATCAAAACACCTCTTTTTTCTTATACAAAACTTAATAAAGAATTCCTCTCTCACTTTTATATGTTGGAGAGAAGACTAACTTTCCAAAGCAGCAGTTAATAACTCAGATGTGTTTTCCAACTTTTAAATTATTTACATCCTTGACACTAAGAGTGTCACTGATTACTTTTTTCATTTTTGTAAGATCTCTCTCTCTCTCTCTCTCTCTCTCTCTCTCTCTCTCTCATATTACAAATTGAAATCAGATATGCTTTATTGCTAAGAAACACTCTCAGCCATTAATAAAATATTCTATAAAGAAATATGGTTTTGCTGATTTTCTTACTACCTCACTAAGTTGCTGAGGCTGGCTGACTTTAATGTTTTTGAATATAGTGTTATAGAAGTTAGCATTATATATACATATACCTGTGTGTGTGTGTGTGTGTATCATTGAATACTCACCAGGAATATATACACAATAACAATAAAGCAAAGTGAATGAAAAAAAATGGAATGAATGAATGAATAAATAAATAAATAAATAAATAAAAGAGATGAAAAAGTACAAAATTTTATGTGACTGGAATTGTCAAATGTTGATTGTGGCCACATAAATTTGTAAAGCTACTTGGAAATGGTTTTATACTACCTACTTAAACATACTCTGTGAATTATCAATTCCACTCCAATGTGGGAAGAAATAAACACATAATCCACTCATCTGACTCTTTCTTTTGGGGACTGTGACAGAGTTACCTTCTTCTTTTGCTTGTACCTTATTTCTGCCTCCAAAGAAACTACCCCTTACCCTCATGCTACTATTGATCCACCACTAGACTTTTTAAATCTGAACCCTTGAGCTTATTCTTTCCCTGTTTCCTTCACAGCACTTTTTTTTCTCTACCCATATCTACTCCACCAACACTTTTTCATGAATACTCACTACTGTATACTCAGCATCCACCAATCTCACATCCTGACCCATCAGGATCCTGTCTTTTTCATGGATCACTTTGAGATCCCTTCCACTCAGATATCAATAGTCCAGAGTAAGGTCAGGTTAGGGTGTTATATATGCAGGTTTTTAGAAATCATTTACATAGCAATAAGCCCACAAAAAGTGGGATGTATTTTACCTGAGGTTAAAAAGAAAATCTACAGACTGCACTGTTAAACTGAATTGTCTAAAATTCACTAATCTCAATAATTTGGAAAAAGAAATTCTATAAAAAGGAGAGTAAAGAAAAGAACATAATACATAAAGTGACAAATTTGAAGGCACACCAAGTATATATATCCAATGAGTGTCATACATTGGTGCTTTCAAAAGACAAATTAATTTGAAATAAATGTGGTAATGTGAGAGGTAGTAATCATTTATTAATTGTATATAATGGTAGTATATATGTATATGTATAAAATGCATCTCATATAATTATGAGTGTATGTTTGAAGAAATGATCTCTACAGTAAGTTTTTTAATTTTGCTGAAACACTATAAATACCTAAGTCTGGGTTTATGTATTACCAAATATTCAGGATACGTTTTATACTTAATAAAGTTTATCACTGACAAACAGACCTTTTTTTCCTAATTTTTAAAAGGAGTAGTATTTATTTCCAATTAGAACATAATGCCATCATTTATTTTTCATTTTTAATTACTTTTTATTTTATATGACAGCAGAATTCATTACGATTCTTATTAAACATATAGAGCACAATTTTTCATTTCTCTGGTTTTATACAAAGTATATTTACATGAATTCACTTCTTTATACATGTATTTATATAATAATATACATCATATTCCACCATCACTTATTTTTTTAATAAAGTTTTTTTTTTTTTTTTTAAAGAGAGAGTCTTTTTTTGTAGACGGAGACAACACAATGCCTTTATTTTTATGTGGTGCTGAGAACTGAACCCAAGTCACACCCATGCTAGCACTCTAACACTAAGCCAAAATCCCAGCCCTTCACCATCATTTCTTACCCCATGAACCCTTCTCTTCCCTCCCAACCCGCAACAGGTCATTTTGATACACATTGAAGTATGCTATGAAGTTATAGAAAAGAGTATATACCATATAATATGAACAGATAAACTTTTGTGACTCATACATAGCTTAATAATAATAATAATAATAATAATAATAATAATAATATTAATAATAATAAACTTTCCATTTAGAAAACAATAAAGTATACATCTGGTACTACTGACATCTTTTCCAAAAAAAAGGTGGTTATTTGTGGAAAAAAAATGATATTCTATGCTTTCTTAATATCAAGAATAAATTATTTTCAGAATTAATATATATTTCAATATAAAAATAAAATAGAACAAGGATCCATGGCACACACTTCTAATCCCATTGGATTGGGAAGCTAAGGCAAGATAATCCTGAGTTCAAAACCAGCTTCTGAAATTTAACAAAGCCCTAAGCAACTATGTTGACCCAGTCTCTGTGTGCCCCTGATTGAAATTTCCAGTAAGAAACAACAACAACCAAAAGAATACAGAGTATTGATAAGAACACAAAACAAATTCTCATGAAGTAAAGATGGAGTAGAAACTGCTATTATTTCTTCATGAAAACTGTTTATGTATATATGAAGTACTCCTCACCAAGCAGCATAGACCTGTAGAAATTATAGTATGTGTGTACCATGACAGTGTACAGTTACATGATAGCATAAAGCTAGAGCTATACTTGTCAACACAGTGTAAATCTGGGGCCTAGGAGGAAAGAGGAGGCACATTCAAAAAAATAAAAATAATAAAGTTTGAGAAAAATTGGTTTCTAGAGCCCAGAAAGATTTTTGATTTAACTAGAGTACAAAATACCACATAAAAGTATTATACTCAAGTTACATCTGTTAAATACATTACATGTATAATGGCTATCAAGGAATATATACATATACATATATATATTAAAATTATATATAAAATTATATATTAAAATTATATATATATATATAATTTTAAAATAAAAACATATTTATTTGCCATGAGACAAAAAGAAAATTATATTACTTTTTTTTTCTCAAATAATTCAATAGAATACTGGTTATCCTTCAGTTTCATGTTATATCCATACCTAAGCAGAGCCTGCTTCACCCCCAGTTGCCCCATTTTACACAAGGGAGTAATGCCAGACAGAAGTCAGCAGTATGACTTTCTCACCCGTCACTTCCCCATTCAGTGCACTGTAGCAATGGAAAATTCCACCCCAGTCCAACACTCTGAGTCACCTACTGCAGGCATCCTGCAGCAGTTACATTGGATCTGGGCTCACAGACACTGCTGGGTGAAGAGGTGGAAGCACAGCAGCTTAAACCTGGAAGCTGCCACATTGAACTTTCCTCAGCTGGGCCTGATCAGGGTAAAGATGCTGGATTTCATACTTTCAGAAGAAGCCAGAGGGAGGAAGAACAGAAAGGGCAGGGGATCATTCCCAGGAAACATGCTCATCCATAGAGGGTTTAATTCTCTTTCTGTAGATATCTTATCCCAACTTCAACAGTTGCCAAAAGCTCAGACCTTGTCCCTGATGCTGACCCAATAACAAGGGCACTGTTTTGATAAAAGGAAAAAGCTGATTTATTACTTTGCTAGCAAAGGACAAACACAGGGAACTCCTGTCTCAAAGACTGTGATTCTGCCCTTTTTCAGAAACAGTAAGCTTTTATAGAGATAATTCAGAGAAAATGAGATTATGAAGGAGAGATCAGGAAAGAGAAAATCAGGGAGAATAAGATCAGCTAGGAGAAGATTAGGGAAAAGAAGATCAGAGAAGATCAGGAAAAAAATGATCATGGAGAAAATGAGGAAGGAAATTTAGGATAAAGAGCATCAGAGAAGATCAGGGAAAAGTTAAAGGAAAGATAAGGGAGAAGATCAAGGAGGAGTAGGTTAGGGAAAAGAAGATCAGGGAGAAGATCAGAGAGAAGATAAGGAGCAGGTTAAGAAAAAGATTAGAGAAGATCAGAAAAAAATCTTAAGGAAAAAGAAAAAACAACTTGTAAGTTTCAAAGCCACAAGGGATATAGTGAAAGCATCAAGGGAACCCCTATTACACAGCTGCAAGGAATGGGCCAAGCCATTCTGTAGAGGTAGGGGAGCCTCCCTGAATGGGATCAGCAGTCTACCTGGAAAGAACAGAGCATATATGTTGGCCATGCCCACCCACATCAGCCAATACCAGGAACACCTTCCCCTCATGGGCAACCTGGCAATTACAGGCACTAGGGCTAGAGTTCATACCCTATATTTTGGCCAATAACAATGCTATTCAGAAAAAAAAATGAATCATAAAAATCTAGAATTAGTGTTCTGCTGTTGAACACTATCAGCAATGTTATAACAAAATAAAAAAGAAAGGAGAGGGAGAAGATGAAGACCCAAATGTGATATGTTTTGCTGAGAAACTCAGGCAAAGCCCTTACAATTCCAATATAAAGAAAAGTGAAGCAAAAGCACTCACATCTACCAGGCTTTCAACCCATTTCCAACTCTGGCATCCTCTGAAGCAGTTGCTCAGGCAGCTGGAGGCACTATTCCCTTCTTCTGACAAGAAAAGTGTCCTTCTACCTTTGTGGGAAAACATGCCTGTTGAAACAGCTAGAAGGGTTTCCTGGCTCACTCCTCACCAAGAGCAGATGCTGAGTGTTTCTAACATTGCAGTTTCAAGTTCCCTCAGGATGCCTGCATCCTGCAAATCCTTCAAGAACAAAGAAAAAACATCAACAAGAGAAGAACAAAAACAAAAATATAACCCCTTCTATCACTTCAGTTAAGCCAACCTCCCTTCCATGCCATAACAACAAAAATCACTCTGGTTTTATCACCCTTCCCTGCTCAATGTCTAGGTTGTCAGGTTCTGCTGGACTCTCCCTTAGCTTTGGCTATTCCCTTCTGTGCCTGAAGCCAAAGAGCCACCTCCTGTTTGGTAAACCAAATAACCAATGAAACAACTATTTGGAATTTCTCACTACTGCTGAGATTTAACTAGTTCCCCAAAGAAAAATATTTCTTCCTGTTACAACAATCTGCAGTTGCAGTAGAAGATCATATTCCACACATGGGTTAACTATTGCCATTAAATGCAGACCACAGGAAAACAAGAAAGTTTAGCTGGGTGTGGTGGTCACACCTGTAACCTCAGCAATTAGGAGGCTGAAGTAGGAAGGAGGATTAGGAGTTGAAAGCCAGCTTCAGCAAGTTAGAGAGGACCTAAGCAATTCAGCTGGACCCTGTCTCTAAGTAAAACACAAAAAAAGAGCTGGGGATGTGGCTCAGTGGTTGGGTGTCTCTGGGTCTCATCTCTGCTACCAATAAATAAATATATAAACAGTTGAGCAAAAATCTAAACATTCAATTGGGGTCAGTGCTAATATATGTGTTGGGTCTTATTTTTCTTTTGCTCGTACTTAAAGACCTGGAATGTTCATATCTGGTTTCACAGGAAGAGTCTCAGGGCCAGGATATATCTATCATGTTGCTGAAAGCTCAATCCTTGTCCCTGTTGTTGACACAACAATGAGGACATGGTTATGAGAAGAAGAAAAAAGGTTTATGGCTTAATCAGAAAAGGTGAAACACAGCTTCCCAAAAGCTGTGAATCTGCCATTAGCAGAAACTGGAGGCTTTTAAAGAGGTGACTCTGCCACATCCAGCCAAGGGAGCCCAGTCCGGCGAGGGAAGGCGAGGTTAAAAGACACAGAGGACACCAAGGTTCTTCATCCAGGAGTCACACACTTTATTGCTAACACACTTTTTTATACCCCAAGCAGCAGAAGTGGAAAACTACCCAAAAGCAGGAGGGAGGGGGGAGAAATTTAGTTTCAACATCTATTATTGTCAGGTACCGAAACCTCCCTTAACAAGAAGTCCATCAGACCGGAAAAGGTCAAGGCATTCCGGTGGGACACATATGTCTCAGACAGACAAGCAGGAACACAAAAACTGCAAGTTCGCCATGGCCTTGTGAGCTGGCCACACTGGCATGCAGAACAAACTAGTGGAGGTTGGGCTCCAGGGGCCAGGGTGGACCTGCTGCCAACAGACTCAAAGGCTACATTCCAAATCTGTAGGAGTTGTAATTCACTTGTTAATTTGGAAGATAGTAATTTCTGAGATCTGAAGCCATTTCCAAAATCTGAATTATTTCATTCTTTTTTTTTTTCAAGGTTTAAATAGATTTTACTGTTACAAGGGGAACCCCACCAGGCAGGGCCAATATAGTGGTCCCAGATGTCACCATGGAAACACTGAGAAATCATGATTACAGAAGAGTTGACTGGAATTGAACGACATGATCCAGGAGAAGCCAGCCAGGAATGCAGACATGGTCAGGATGGGCTGGCAGGGGTGGTCAGGTCACAGGGCGAGGGAGAGAACAGACCCCTTCACTCCCGCTTCTTGTAGCTCTCCAGGTGTGATAGGACCCAGCCGGCCGGCAGGAGGAAACACAGGAAGCAGGAGGTGAGCCCAATGGTGATATCCATGGTCCCGAGCTGCTCCCGCGGCGGCTTGGAATGGACCTGGGCGCGCAGCACGAGGAGCCACCGGGCCGGGCCTGTCAGGCCCCTCAGCAACAGCGGCGTCAAGACAGACATGATCACACGGATGAGACCACAGACAATCTGCAGCAGGAGCCCAAGGTCAGGAAGTCAAAATGGCTAATTATTTCATTCTTAAGGTGGGTGTGTGCTCAGGGACAAATAACTCCGCCTAGGATGGGGAAGAAAGGTAATCTTGTTTCCTTTGGGATTAGGGAGTAGAGATTAGGGACAGGCTTGGAGAGAAGAAGAGAAAGAAACAGGTCTGTTTTAAAAATATGTTACAGGGTTTTAGTCGAGTCGTTGCCCTGTCCTGAAACGGACGGACGTGCGTTCCGCTTCGCCCGTTCTGCAGTCCGGTTTCCGTCTCGTTTCCGCCCCGCTGCGCGCCGGCAGTATGGCCCATAAGCAGATCTACTACTCGGACAAGTACTTCGACGAGCACTATGAGTACCGGATCATGGGAGTCTTGTCTTTGCAGGAAGAAAACTGAGGATTATTAACTCTTGGCATGTCATGTTACCCAGAGAACTTTCCAAACAGGTACCCAAAACTCATCTAATGTCTGAAGAGGAGTGGAGGAGACTTGGTGTCCAACAGAGTCTAGGCTGGGTTCATTACATGATTCATGAGCCAGAACCCCATATTCTTCTCTTTAGACGACCTCTTCCAAAACAGCAACAAAAATGAAGTCTATCTGGGATCATCAATTAAATCTTTCTCAAATTTAATGTATATGTGTATATAAGGTAGTATTCAGTGAATACTTGAAAAATGTACAAATCATTCATCCATACCTGTGCATGAGCTGTATTCTTCACAGCAACAGAGCTCAGTTAAATGCAACTGCAAGTAGCTTATTGTAAGGTGTTTAAGATAAAATTTCTTCTAGTCAGTTTTTCTCTTTAATATAAGTGCCTATTTGACATTACCTGTTACTTTTGTTAAATAAAGTTTGTATGTTGCATTTAAAAAAAAATAAATAAAAAATAAAAAAAAAATAAAAATATGTTACAGTGCTAGAGCAGTCAGGGTTATATTCAAAGCACAATATGGACCACTGTTACAATACAGCACGTTTTGAAAGGTTAAAGTGGCAGAGAAGAACACTTACAAATAGCTTCTGGGCAGGATCTGTTCAATATTAATAATGTTTTAAGTTGATTCTAGGAACCTAAAAGAAAAAGAGGGTCTCTGTCATTAGAGGAGGTCCCAGAGAGTGGAACTTGACTCAGGACAAGTGGGGTCCTTGGCATACAAGAATGAAAAAAAATTCAGTGCACGCCAACCAGAGACACAAATTTATTTAGGAAAACAGATAGATATCCAAGGGAGAATGCAAGGCATTTTCAGAGGGAGAAACAGCAACCCATTGGTTGCAATAGCTAAGGGCTGAAGACAGAAGACAGAGCCATTACAAAATTTCACACCAGTTTTTCTAGCTCTAGCTTATTTTCCTCGTGTCCTGTTACTTTTTTCAGACAAGAACCTGGGCCAAGGGCATGCATGGGTTGCCCAAGTGTTTCCTGTTTTGCATTTCAAATGTTCATGGGTATTTCCTGCATTCCAAAAGTTCTTGGGCACTCTCTTTCTCACCCCCCACCATTCCCCCAAACCTCCAGTACTGGGGATTGAACCCAGGGGTGCTTTACCACCAAGCTGCATCCCCAGTCCTTTGTATTTTTATTTGTTTTAATATGGAGACTAGGTCTCACTAAGTTGTTGAAGGTCTCCCTAAATTATTGAGGCTGCCTCAACTTTGCCATTCTTCTGTTACCAAAAATTTGCTTCTTGCCCCTGTTGCCAATACAATAATGAGACATGGTTTTTGAGAAAAAAAAGGAAAAATAAATTTTATTGCTTTGTTAGAAAAGTAAAAACACAGGGAACTTCTGTCTCCAGAGTCTGATTCTACCAATCAGTGGGAACAGAGGATATTTGAAGGTTATTCAAAGGGTACATTCTAGGTGTGTCCTAATAGGGGTCACAATTCACTTGTTAATTTGGGAGATTTCTTAAATCTTCTGGATCCAACTCCCAAAATCTGAATTACTTTATTCCTGAGATAGATGTGTGCTCAAGGATAGATAACTGGGTTTAGGATGTGGAAGAAGGGCAATCCTGTTTCCTCCAAGATTAGGGATAAAAAAAAAATGTCCATTTAAAAATAAGCCTCAATGGCAGAGCTCCAAAGCATGAAGTGGACCATTATACTCCTGCGTGTCTCAATAGACACAAATATGTGCCACCTGTCCATTTACATGCTTCTCCTTTGAGACTCAGTAGTAGCACTGCAAAAAACCAAAGCAAAACAAGGAGAAGAAAAAACACTTTCACTTATTTTCCAATGAACTTTGGAATAAAATCTAAGTGCTTCATTATGCATTAAAATTGTACTTAAAAGCCAGCTGCAGTGTCACATGCCTCTAATCCCAGCAACTTGGGAGGTTGAGGGAGATGAATCACATAATTGAAGCCAGCTTTAGCAATTTAGTGAGGCTGTATGCAACCTAGTGAGGTCTTGTCTCAAAATAAAAAAAAATAAAAGGTCTGGGGATATAACTCAGTGGTTAAACACCCTTGGGTTCAACCCTTGAACCCTTCAAAAAGAGAAAAAAGAAGAAAGAGAGATGGTACTTAAGGCCATTCATGTTCTTGCATTAACTTACTTTAGCACTAAGCTACTTCCCCAGCCCTTTTTGTGACAGGGTCTTGCTACAATTGCCCAGGCAGCCTTTGTTTTCTTTTTTTCTTTCTTTCTTTCTTTCTTTCTTTCTTTCTTTCTTTCTTTCTTTCTTTCTTTCTTTCTTTCTTTCTTTCAGCTTAGAGTTGCAGTGCATTTCCTTTCCTTGAAAGGCTCTTTCCTTAGCTGGCTCTTTAAAGGTTCCATCTGAAAAATCACACACCCCTGGGAAAATTTCCTTCACCACCCAACTGCATTTTGGTTATTCTTCATTACAACTCTGGTCCATCTTTGCAGCATACATCACGTTTGTCAGTGGATTTCATGACATAATTTTGTGCCATTGAAGACAGATTTAAAGATAGGTAGTCATTGTAGTTAGGTAAATCGGGTCTAACATCCAGTAAAACCCAAAATGAAGACTACATTGAGAATGGAGTCAGAGAAAAGCTCCCCAAGGTCCAGAGCCAATCCCAAAGAAATGTTAATGAAACTCCTCCCAGCAAACTTGGAGATGCTAACCCAAAAGTCCTTCCAGCCCAGATTACTCCTCTGTCCCACCTGTGCCCCACCCTTTGGGCCTTCACACTTACATTCCATCACTGTAAGATAACAGAACAGAGGACAGGAATGTGGGAAAGTTAAAGAAGACCTAAGCTATAAAAGGGGAACACATTCTCCCTTCCATGGATTCCACCTCTTGGGTCCCCTTCTTCCTCCCGGAGAAGTATTTTCCTTTAATAAAGCTTTTACTTTCCACTCTAACCTTGTCTCAGCATGCTTCTCTGGTGTTGTACTTCAACATTGGGGAAGCAAGGACTCATCATCAGTAAACACCGCTAACACCATGGCTTGGAATGTAATTGTTAAATACATCATTATACTTGGCTGTTTGTAACACGTGCTATTTTATTAGTTTGTGTTCAACTTCAAGGCAGAGCCCTGCTGAATAATTCACGTTAACTCCCATCATGGCCCAGTTCAGTATATGGTTTAACTTTGCTCAAATTTGCTTTTTTAGTTGTACATGGACACAATACCTTTATTTATTTACTTATTTTTTGTGGTGTTGAGGATTGAACCCAGTGCCTCAGATGTGCTAGGCAAGCGCTTTACCACTGAGCTAAAACCCCAGCCCTCAGATCTATTTTTTGAAAAACATCAACAGGTACAAGGATAAAGGTGGGTACACAAGTGCAAGAGAGGATGTAGCTAAGCAGAGTGAATTTAGAAAAAAGTCAGGCGAGAAGGAAATGAGAGAAGTCAATATTGGAAGATAGCCATCTTAAGGTACTAAAAGCCTGCACCTCTCACAAAACATCTGACTACCCTTTCAGAAGATATTTCATGGGGAAAAAATCAAAACAAAACTCTTGAAGCAGACATCAGCCGAACGCCCGCTTTCCGTGAGCCCCACCTACAGCTCGTCCTCACTCCCACCTTGAACCAGCCCCTGGCGAGTGACGTCAGAAGTTGATCGTGGCCACAGCAGTGCTCAGGGGGCGGCCTGAGGCGCTGGAAAAGGAAGTGGTAGGGAGGTTGCTTCTTTTGCGCCTACCACAATCTCTCTGGGCTCCCTGAGAGGCGGCTGTCTCCAAGGCTGCCTCTCGCTCTTTTTCTACTTCCCTCCATGTGCCCTGGCGACGCTGCTCGCGCCGAGGTCTTTGGAAGTAAGGGAAGCACCACTCAACCTGGTAAGTGGCTCACAGGATTGCGTCCACGGTGGGTGCCTTTGCCTCATGCGTGGGGTACAGTCCTCAGAGTGCAGACAGACCCTTGAGGCCAGGGGGCAGTCTTAGAGGGACAGTCGCAGAGGCTGAGGGCCACAGGCAGGCCCTGAGTTCATAGAGGCTCCGGGCAAGCCGCCTCAGAGTTTGCCCTCCTCTGAGATTGCGGGGAAGCTCCCACTGACTTCTGGTGTCTACTGTTGCCGGGCCCCGGGCTGCGGCCTACTGGGGATGCCCTCACCTCTGCTGTGGCGGGGGAGATGCCTCCAAGTGCCACATAGCAGCCTTTCTGAAGCCTGGGAAGCATGGGAGTTGGCTAGGACAGAAATGGTGTGTAATGCTGATTGTAAGTTTCAACACAGGGGGCCCGAGTCTAAGCTCCCCGACTTTGGAGAGGTGGAGTAAAACCCCTAACTCCAGTTTTCTTTTCACCTACTTACTGTATTCCTTCGGGTTCATAAATAGTCTCTCTTCTCCCCGAATAAATTAGGGATAGCTGGGGGAAAAAACACGACCTTCTGTTTTTAGCTCAGTTTCATCAATTTAGGCATCATAAAGTATAAAAGCTGTTTGTTGTTCTCAGAAAAAGTACTGGTAGTCTAAAGTCTTTAAAGCAATAAGAAATGGTTCTTTCCAGACTGGCCGCTGCATCTGTGAGTTTTCTAATCTAGGAGAGATATAGATACATAGATATCTATTTATCTATAAAACTTAGAATACCTAAGGTTGCAGACAGGAAGAACTTTTTAGTCATGGGCTTGCAGTTCATTTGTGCTGGTGGAATTGGGAAAAAGGACTATGGAGGATTAATTTCTCACATTGGACCTCTCAACCCTACTGTGTTGGAAGAGCCTTGAACTGGTTCACACTATATAGAGAAGCAATGGAGCCTGGTGGTTTAGGAAAATAGTTTCTGAAGCCAGACTGCTTGGGTAAATTCTGACTTTGTCACTTAATTGATGCCTAACCTGGGGCAAATTACTTGATCTCGCTGTGTTTCAGGTTTTGTGTTAGGGTTAAAGGAGGAAATAGTTGCAAACCACTTGGTACTGCATC